TTGGCCTCTCTCCATAAACCTCTCCCCATTGCTTAGTTGTCAGAGTGCCCCCGCCCCCCCCCCCCAAGTATTTAGGAGACTCGAGCTTAATTCTTATTTTCCTTACCCTCATGACATCACAGGAAAAAATAACAGATTCCCATTTTTGGATATTTTAGGGTATTTAAAGAATACCCACAAAAATCCCAAATTTGTAAGTTTGAGACAAGTCCCAATCAGGGAACTTGGTTGGGAATTCCCTGGTTGGGATTTGTCTCACTTTGCCAAATTTGGGATTTTTATGGGTATTATTTAAATACCCTAAAATATCCAAAAATGGGAATCTGTTATGTTTTCCTGTGGATGATATAAATTACATGTTCCTTAATAATAGTATGGAACTTTGCTATAATAAATATTCTTGATATTTCCTTCACTGCTGCATGGATCTCATTAAAATGTTTGATATGCTGTAAGTAATCTTGACTTATGCCAGGTGTGCCTAATGATACAGGGTGCAAAGAAAGTCAGTTTTACAGCCTGCCATTCGGGCAAGCTGTAGCTAGCATGTACTAGCCCACAAGTCATTTCAACTAGCCCCAAAACCCCTTTTGATTAGCAGGATTGATTGCAATCCTTCTGTAATTTGAATTTCCCAAAAAAACAGCACTTGCCCATCGGGCAAGTTAAGAACAAAAATCACTAGTCAATAGCAAAATCCACCAGCCCCAGGCTATCGGACACGACTTTCTTTCTTTCACGCTGATATCACCTGATTTTACTCTTGAAATGTCCATGTATTCTAGCCCTTTATATTCAAACCAGGTCAAGCGTACCCCCCAAGAATCCATTAATGAATTTATTATTCAAAAGTTGAATCCGTTGCTAGTTGTTGATTTCAGATTGATCTCTGCATTCTTGTATGTGTAATGAGCCGTGAATTCACACGCGAGGCAGTTATGAAATTTCTACCAGCTCCATTTCCCTGAAATTGATGTAAATGTCTTCTAAGAAGCTTAATCCATTCAAAGATTTCCAATCTGACCAAATACAGAGAAGTACTCGTAAAATATTCACTGCTCATTACGCATGCAGAAATGCTGCTTTGAATTTGATACCAGTTACGGGAACGACTAACGGATTCATGTTTCAAATAATCAATTCACTGATAGAATCTTTGGGGATACGCTTGACTTGGTTTGACTGTAAATCATGAAAACATGTCCAGCACAGTTACTTATCAAATATTTGAATAAGACATTGACCTACAATGTATACCTGACCAGTTGGATATGAACCTCTTTCCTTTGCCACAAGGCTCTAGACTGGGAGTCTTAATAAGCTGATCCTTTTTTTGCTTACAGTACTTGCAGGATAACATAATGACACAAACACCTTCAACCCTCTCTGATCCAAAGTAAGTGTATTCCTCTGTCACTTTTTTTGGGCTTAATCTTCAGTCATTTTTAGTGCAGCTTGGATCCCCTCATTATTTCCTCCTCCCCTCCAACCACTGTTGGCCTCTTGGCCAACACCTGTCATAGTAGTACTCACCTACAGGAATAAGGCCCTAAAGATAAAAATAAAGTACCATTATGTATGTAACGTGAAATTGCTTGAATGCCACATGGATCTTAAAAAGTGCAGGAACGTGTACATGGGCAAGACAGCTGCAGCAGGGGGCCTTACAGCCTAAGTTACTTTGCAAATGCTCAGGACAAGGCTGCACTTTCCCATATGACCCCCCTCCCCATTATCTGTTAAGTGGCAATTGTTTGTTTCTATTTAGGTAGAGGTGTCTCTGCTCTTCTTTTTTTGTTGTTGTTATAGGTGTTTTGTATTATTCTTTTGTATTTTCTTTATCAAACAGATTTGTGTCAGAAGAGGAAAGGGAGGCTAAGTACAACCGAGTAGTTTCATCATCCATTTCAGCTCTTGGAAAGTTGATGTCTGTAACATCAGAAAAGAGTAGAGCAGGGATGGAAGAGCTTTTTCTCAACATACTCCAGCAGAACAAGTTTTGGAAATATTCGAAGCACAAGTCTCCAAATGTACATATTATTTATTTTTGTTGTTTACTATTAGCTTACATCCTAGATTTCGTTTATTTATTTATGTATTTTACAGTTTGATATTAGATGTACATTTGCAACAAGGAAAGACACAATAAGGGTGGGAAAACTAGTTGCAGTGATTTCTTTTTATGAATAACAGTGACACTTACATCTACGATCTTTCAACCCACCAATTTTTCCATGCAAAACAGGTTTTGTATTTTTACTAAGGAAAATCAGTTGACAAAAATCACAATAAACCAAATAAGCCCATAAAAATATCAAAATGAGAATAACTGTTATCATTTATTTGAAACGTTGCATCCTTTTAATAGTGAACTCAATTTGTAATTAATGGCTCTGTATTTGAGTGAGCTCTTCCATTTACAATAGTAAAAACTGAAGATCCCATTTTTTTTGGCTTTATTTTCTGTAGGTACGGGGTGCAGTGTTCTCCACTATAAGCCTTGCGTGTGAAACATTTCCTTCAATGATGTTATCACTCAGCAGTCAGGTGTCCCCTGCTGTGTTGTCAGCACTTGATGATTCAGATCCTGCTGTGTGTCAGCATCTGTGGGATGCTGTTTTATCTGTGCTTAACAGTATCACGGTAAGGAAGGTCAAGGTGACTGGCCTCTCACTGTACTTTAATAATTACATGAAATAACTCTTGTTTTCATCTGTGTGGTTTTGGATGGTTTAATTTATTTGTAGATATAGTTATAAGAAAGTTTTGTGATTTTTGTCCAAGCTACTCTTTTTGCAATCTTTTATCACTTTTGACTTTATGGAAGAATAGCTAGTATGTAGATATTTTAGCTACTGGCTCAAATCTAGTATTACTTTTACATCATTTTTGTAGTTTTGAGCTTATGTAATGGGGTGTTGTCTACTTTTTATCAGGATTGCTGGAAACAAGTTAATGTCCGCAAAGCTGTTCTGCCAAAATTGTGGTCTGTCTTAAAGAATGGAGGCAATGGCTGTGCAACAATCATTTTCCCTAACTTGCTGCCGTTCCTGAGTAAAGTCCCTTCAGAGGTTGGAACTAACATTTCTATCATAATATAATTTTACAGAGTTAACATTTGAGGCTTTACCAGCCCATTAGTATCAGCCCCTTATTAGTCCCATGTCATTAATGCCTTATGATTTTAGCAGGCGACAAATCCATGACAAATTGAAAATTCACCAAGAACAATGCCAAGAAAGAAGAGCAAAGTCAGCCCACTGAATTTAATGTAACAGGCAGAATTTCCAATAAATACCTACAGTAGGCCAGCCTTGCTCGTCAAAAATCGTATCAACTTTTGTCATATGAATGCCACAGCATTCAAGGAATTGCAATCCCTTGGGTTTTTAAAAGGATAAATTCCATAAATCCTGCAGTACATGCACTGTTAAATGTTGTAAACTACCACCTTGTGAATGGTATTACACATGTATACATTTGTAACGCTGAACAAGAGTGCTTTGTTACATTATTCTTTTACTAATTAATAGCAATTGTTGATCATTTGTAGGTTGTTGGTGATGGAGTAGGTTTCTTTCATGAGTTCTTTAGTAATCTACGTGAAGGCCTGTTAAAGGAGCGGGTACAAAATAGCTCAAGTGAATGTTCATCAGTGATTGCAGCATTTATGGAGTGTCTAAGATTTTGCCTTTTTCATGAATTTGGTGGAAAGGGTGCAGATTCTACGGTACAAGAATATTTGATCAAGGAACAGGTAGGACAGTTGTTACATTTTAGTTTGTCCATTTTATTATTTTCAGATGTATTTTCACTGCATTTACATGACCAAGGTTAAGGGAAAGCCATCTTCAATGGTTTCAAGATCGTTGAATTGCTATGTTTCTTGTTATTCATGTGTTCTATCTTTCTATTTGTCATTGGAATCAAAAACAAAGAAAGCAGCTCAGCATAATTTTGATCCTTTTTAAATTTCTTAAAGTTCACTTTAAAAGTGCAACTTAGAATCTTAACTTGTTTTTGCGATGAAGAGGTGCAATCATCACAAGCTACATATATGGCCCTTGTGGTAGTAAGCTGGGAGGAACTGAGTAGACCGACACAGTTTATTAGAACTACATCTACAGACCTGCAACTGTACCTTAAATAGTGACCATGTTGCTATTGTTTTACAAAGTTATCCTTATTTTTCATTTTGTTTTTTAGTTGCTGTCAGTAATGGAAAACTCTTTGGAAAAGCAAAGTAAACTAGCACAGACTGAACTTTACTCTCTTGTTGCTGGCTTGTTGTCATATCTCTCCGTCACATCTGAAAGTGACTGCAAATCAGATGGGACAGTGGAAGGGGAGGAGAAATTACGACAACAATTCAGGAACATGTTAAAATTGTTCTGGGAAGGTATGAGCCATCTCTGCCTGGAACATCTCAAGCCAGTCGATCAAGAGGTTAGGAAGGTTTAAAACTATTATTTTATTTGGTTCATTTTTATTTCAATTTGGTCACTTTGTGATACTCAACTGCAAATGATGTATGAGATCAGTTTTATCTTCTTCTGAGAAAAAATGGCTGTTTGAATTAAAATGTTTGGTTATTTTGAAGGTACGCGTAATGAAACTTAAACAAATTTGTAGTTAAGGGCTTTTATTTGTATTGCTTGATTTCAATGTGTCTTGCTCTGGATCCACGAAGGGAAGGTCAAGAAAAGGGAGATCTGTTTCTTTAATGATATTCCGTTTGGGTTATGCAATGCACCACTGAAATTTGAAAGGCTTGTCTTGTAAATACAGTGAGAATCCCGTTAATGCGGCCATATAAGGGCTAGGAAAGTGTCGTTGTATTAACGAGGTGATCGTACTAACGTAGTTGTCAGATAACCAAACGACACTGCATTTTCTTTTTCTATGGGGAAACAATGTTATGCTCATTATTAGGTGGTTGGATAACAGGAGATTATAAGGAGAGGTTTTACGGTGCAAATAGTAATTTTATCTTCTAGTCAGTGAATAGTAATCAAAGGCTTTGACATTTCCTCATAGGCTCACCATGAAACTGTTGTCATTTCCTGACAGGTTGACCATGAAGCAGTTGCCTCCGTATCTCATTGTCTGGTTTCTCTGAAAAAACCAGCCACAAAGAGAAGAAAGCAACACAAGGTTGCATTTACAGAGTCTTCCTCTGAAGTTTTGGACAAGACTAGCCGCCATGGATCTGCTTTGCCAAACACAAATTGTCACCCTATGGATCTTCATTTAACAGGATCTGAGGATGTGGAAAAACTGTATTGTGGCTGTCTATTGGACCTGGTTTGCGCAATTTGTACTCTGTGTCTGGATGAAATATCTCAAAAGAATTCGCTTAAACATCTTAATCTCCTCTCAAGACTTGTTCCACATTTTACATCAACTCGTCTTATGAGAACGTTAACTAGAACTGGTGAACATTCTTCAAGATTGACTTCAGTAGATGAGGACAATTATTGTAGTTTGAGTGAATGTTTTCTTAATGGCACGTTGTTTTCATGGATCAACGTATCCTGCGAACCGTTTCTGTCTGATACAAACGGAGATGATGCAAGTGGTGGCTTTAAAGACAATAAATCTGTTGATTATGTTATTACAATTTTTTGTGGGATAATAAAACCATTGCCTCTTGAAATTGTCCTTCTCAACCATAGGTTTATAGAAGTCCATTAAAAACCCAGTAGAAAAAATCAATTTCATCGAGACTTCGAACTTGGAATCGATATCCGTTAATTGGACAGAAGAATAAATAGTATATGTTGAGATCGATATACTTGATGCTAGTCATTAACTCATCAATCATTCGTTTTTCCATCAGCAAAGTTCAACAGTCACTTTCTTATACAAAGTTCTTGAGCAGGTGAGAGTCTCTGAGAAGTAACTGTTGACTGTGTTGAGTAATGTTGCAATTTACGCGTCTAGTACTGTAGTTGTAGTAGAGTTTAAATAGTAAATGGTACAAGGTAGTGTTCAGTAGTCGATGGAGAGAAAGTCGGCTAAACGGCGTTTAAACCGGCCGTAGGACACAGAGTGGCTATGAACTAAAGGTGAGGAGCTTTTTGAATCAATATTTCGCGTGATCATGATTTTTTTTTTCTTAGCGTTGTAGATTCGAATACATGTGATAAAATTAGAACGATAAGGGCCCTAATCACATGCAAGAAATCTCGATCTTCGTTATCTTAAAGGCTACTAGTACACATAGACAAACAAGAAGACTTCGTATCTTTAAGATTTTTGCATTTATTTGGCATCAGATAATACACTAATAATTCTAGTATATTCCGACCAAATAACCTCTGCGGCCTGAACCCAAACATAGTGCGCCTGGGCTGCCTGTGCTGAGTCGGACTATTTTTACCACCGTGGTTGTTGGTGACTGGTGTATCAACAACCTAGCTCTTGGTCGGTGGGTTTCGATCCAAAGCATTGTTAGTTTTATCACCATGAGCGAGGTTCGTGATACATCAGTCGCAATCAATATCAAAGTGACAATCGTGGGACAAACGATAAAGTAAACCCTTTATACACATTATCCACGATGATTAATATCTTTTATGACAAAATTACAGTGGTTTGAATCTTAGGTAATTCAGTCTATTTCTTCCTCTTCCATTAGGGGCTGCAATCTGACGTTCTGGGTATTATTAGATGGCTTTATTCTGCGGAAGGAAATGAAAGACTTCTTGCTTTAACAAAAGGTTTAGTGCTTCATGTCAGCAGCGACTTCTTGAACATTGTAGTTCTTTCTGATGGAGACAGAAGAATTGTTTGGAAGCTTCTACAGTTGTGTATCGTGTCCAAACGTAACGGTCAGTAATATCTTAAGCGTTTACCTTTTGCCCAGTCCGTTTTGGGAGACTATTTACTCCTTGTTTTAAAATGAAATAAAGCAAACCTAGATGTTTCCTTTTGGCATCGCGTGCGCTGAAAATGACGTCTTTCTTGAAGGGAGTAAACTAAAGATTTTGTTACGCCACTTGTTGGCTTTTGGAGATACTTAGTGTGTGGCCACAAACAGGACGTTTGGGTGAACGTTAATGGGTTCTTATTCCTTAAATGATGATACTTGTTTTGCAGTTGTAATGCTGGAGAAAGACTTTGTGGAGAATATATTTCAACTCTTCATAAGGATTCTAAGACAGTCAGAACAAGACAGTGAAAGAGAATTGCTTCCGTTGCTGGACATTTTAAAGATGTATCTCACCAACTGTGGAAATTCTGTAAGTCTCATATATCCCTGATTTTAAATTTGTTGTTGTTTTTTTTGGAGTCAGCCACAAGATCTAACAATGGATTACAACAAGTGACAATCAAGTCATTGGGAGTTGCAGGTTACCGATACTACATTTGACGTCACATCCTTGGTTTGGTTAACCAAGAGTCATACCTACTGTTGTCACAGCTCTTATGAATTTTTATTTTCAGCCTGGCGATGTTGTACCTTGTATAGAAGATCTTCTGCTTGCTGTGTTTCAGTTACAGTTGGTCAGGACGCTTCGGGAATCATGTAAGTAAACAGGACAGTGGTTGCCTATCTTTTAAATTGTCACCGGACAGTAAAATTTTGAAAACTCAAAACAGCTTTCCGCTCTGTAAGACGTACTTTGATGGAAGTCTAAGACGGATGTAAACCTCTCGTCTTGGTTGTGCGTCGTAAGTATTGAAATATGAATCGCATCTCTAGCCTGCGAGCAAGCTCTCCTGGGCACTCGTGCGGCGGGGCGGGAAAAGGAAGGAAAGCTTGCAACTACGTCTCTGGAATTTGAATATCTTCGTCGAAAAAGTGGATGCGAAATGCTGATCGGCCGAGATTACATTAGTAATGACGTCATTACCCATAGCACGTGCTTTTCAATGTTTGTTTACATTCGCGCTCGTTTCCGCTTCGCGCTGATTAGTGGAAATCTGACTGCTCAGTTGACCGGAAGCCACAGGGCAATTGGAGAAATTCCAGAGATGTAGTTGCAAGCTCTCCTTCCTTTTCCCGTGCCGCCGCCAGTGCGCAAGTAAGTAATGGCCCCAGGTAAGTCAAATGTGAGAGCTGCTTGTCTATTTAGGACAAGGTGAAATTCAAAATTTTTTCGAGTCCTGGATTGATCTCAAACACTCACTTTCTTTGTATCTGTTTATTTGTTTATTTGTTTGTTTTACCCGACTCTTTTTAAATTAGTTCTATTCTAATATTAAACCAGTTTCTTCTTTGTAAATAAATTGAATAAATAAATGAATGAATGAATGAATGAATGAAAGTGTACCGCGATTAAAGGTGATGCTCATAAATATAATCGGCCTTTCGTGTTCTACTGGTTTGGAGGTGGTGCATTGAAGTTGAAAGTGTTCGCTTGTAAAATCCTATAGTGTTGCCGTGTAGACAGTGTTTCAGAAGGTATTCCCTCTGTTTGATCAATAATTTCTTTCACAGCATCAGTATCGCAGTCGGTAGCAGAAACCTGGCAAAAAGGATTACAGGTTTTGAGTCAAGTTTCATATGACGTGGATTCAACACCATGCGAGACCCTTCTTCTAAGAGCAGCCTCCTTTGTCTATGAAAATCTAACTAAAGGGGATACCCTTGAGAGGTACGACACTCCTTATCGCCTTTTTGTCATCTTTCCCAGGCTTTGCTTTGTTACCCATCGCTCGTGTAATGCATTCTTCTCATAACGCCTTGCACTCTCCATTTTCTTCGATGTAGTGGGGTCTGTGAACGATTTAGCCATTTATACGGGAGGTCCATAGAATTTC